GAGATAACAATAGTATTATTTTGTTGTGCAACTTTGGTTCTAATATGCCTTAATTTTAACATATTAATATTTTTATTTGAATGTATGAATCAGAGTAACAAGAGTTTATGGCAACAGATAGGCCTCAGCTAAATTTTATGTTACTCCCACCTTAATTTAAAAAATCAATTGCAAGAGATCCTTTGAGAAGAGCACTTTATCCCTTTATTGGAAATTGCTATAAGACAGAGGGAGGAAGGAAAAAGCAAAAAATGGATATTAATCCTAAGAAAATGTGGCCTTTTACAGAAAAAAAATAAGCAGGGGTCCCAGGATTTCATAGTACATGCTCTGTACAATCAATTTTATATTAATCAATTCTCTTAATGGGGATATGTTGATGTGACATCCTGACAGACATAAAAGCACAAATAAATGTATGCTTGTTATATCTTGATATTTCATTTTGCACAGAAATCCCCTATCTTTCTGTTTTTATCTTGTCACAGGATACTGTGAGAGTTTTCAAGAGTGAATAGCAATGTACGTTCAAAGATTCTGTGACCCAGTTCAATATTTGTTTTTATTTGTAATAGTATAAGACAGAAAAGCATTGATTTCTCTAAGAATTAGAATCCTTCAGCTAGATAGCATCAGGTCTATTTTAACTGATGGAAAGCACTATCAGCTAAAGCAAATAAACCCATTCTTTTTCGTATTTTTTATTTTAGAAGACAGTAAAATACAGCAAACAGACTTTTGATCTCTTCTATGTAAATGTGTATGTGGGCTACTGTTTATGGGAGAATTAATTAAGAGCTTTAAGTACCACTCTCAGCTACCAGAATGTTGATTTTGAAATCTTCTCGTTTGGAATCGGCTTCAAACAGCCATCATCCAATGCTATACCATCTTCATCTCTACCCAGTGATCTCTATGCTGTCTCTCCTCTGGTGATCTTGAATCCTCCCTGAATCCCGATCTATTCTTTAGTCTGAATTTGCTTAATGCCATGTTTCCTTACTAGCCATTTTCTCCCCTCCTCCTTCTCTGATCCCAACAATAACTTTCTCTGTTCTTGCAAGCTCCTTAGCAAGACACTCTATGCATGCATTAAAAAAAAAAACTTTAATTTTCTCCCAGCTCTTTCCCAGCATCAGATTATCAACTGAAGGTACAGTTTCTACGCCTGGAAGATCAAATCTCAAAATGGTAAACAGTATTTATCTACTCCATTCTTTCACCCTTACATTTAATCTCTTGATTTGCAGACCAAAAAAAAATATCTTTGAATATTACCAACAAACACAAGGCTTCACTTTTAAAAGAAGAATCTGTAAGGGTCAGAGTCTAAATTAAAGGGAAAACATATCTGGATTTCATGTGTATTTTGAATTATATTTTGTAAATGAAAAGAAAAAATATTACTATTTTGCCACTGAATTTCAGCAGTGTAACCCCGAGACTCTGAATGCCATTAAAATAGGACTGTAACTCTACATGAATAATCAAAGACTAATGTTTTGGAAAAGTCCAACATTTTTTTAAATGTTTAAGTGCATTTCAAACTTAAATCAGACATAAACCTCTCTGTTATTCAAAACTAATGCTAGGGGATGTAATTTATGAAAAATATAGTAGCACAATTTTTCAGTACTCCTGGGAAGGTAACATAAAAGCAAGACATTCTAAAAAGGGAAATTTCTTCCCACTTCTACACCTAAAAAAGTACTACTAGGACAACCATGTAAACACAATAGTGTTTCAAAGATTTAATGTGCAACTTTTTAAAAAATATATATATAAATGTAAAAACTATAAACATACACTTCTTAATATCTAAGTCCCAAAATATCAATGTATCAAATATCAAATATAGAAGATGGATAAAAATGGATACAATATTTTAATATTCATTAACTGAAAAATTACAACTATAAAATATTATAGAAAATTAGGCTGTATTAAATAGGCAGGTTATGAATAAAGTACATTTAATTTGAAAAAGTTTGATATATCTCTTAGAACATCTATCATATATAAACTATTTAAATAAATAAATCATGTCAGTATAAAAGAACATTCATAACAAAGAATGCAGAACACTATATCAAATAACAGCAGGCACCTGTCTTTAAACATAGGCTGCATCTAATTTTATAAAAGAAAGTCCAGGACACAGCACCTGGCTTTTACTCACACAGCCCTGCTCCCATCACCTAAGTATACAGGCTTCATGTATCAAAGACCGGATGATAAAGAAAGGACACAGACATACACACCTTTGTATTTATATATAGTATATTATCCTTCAAATTAGACCGGCCTCTATGCACTTCATAGATTACTATTGCCACATTCAGGTTGAAGTGTATAGTTATATTGCTATAATGTTTGCGCCCTGCAATTTGAAATGCTTATTATCATTCACTCATTCTTGAATATTTCTCAATAAAGCATTGCAAATTAACAAGTAATTTCTAGTTATTCTGACTGGAAGGTTAAGAAAATAGATGGAGGATAAAGTAATTAGCACTTATTAGTTTAAATAACATTATTTTTCTCTTTTTGGGGGGTCTTTTTTATGGTATTGCTATAACTGCAGAAATTACTTGAAACACCCCAAGGAGGTGACTATGATATTATTACTAAATAAGTCATATGAAGTGGAGCAGGGATTTTTCAAGACTTTTTGGTCCTGGGCTGGGGATATCTTGGGTGCTTATACCACCAGTTTCAAACATTTGTTTTAAAATGGTGGGAGAACATGGCAGTGATTTTTGCCAGGTTCTAGACAATATAAAAAAGGGGGAGACTGTGTTAAATCTGCTTGGCCTACATTACAATCTCAAGTCAAGTTTAACTGTTACAATTTTGCTCCTATTATGGAGCTGTTTACCTTATCAAATTAGTAGCATTGCAATAGCCAATTCCCTATGAGTAGTTTGTTCAGTAGTAATAGTGGTCTTAATTATATGATTATTTTAAAATAAATTGCCAGAATCATCTTCTAGATTTTATTTTAAACAGAACATTTTATAGTTATTTCCATCTTGTATAAAATTATACTATATTGTATCAAGCCATAACAAAGCTAACACTTCTAGGTATGTCAGTAATCTTAAATAAATGGATTACATTAGATTACACTGTTATGTGTTTATGTTTTGTGGTAGTTACCCTGTTTCTCCAACAATATGGCCTCCCCCAATAGGAAGTCCCAGCATGTTTTATAGGCATGAAATGAAATTAAGCCCCTCCCCCAAATTGAGGCCTATATTAAAACATGCGAAATGGTGGGAATGGTGGTGGGGCTTGCCGTTACGAAGTACTTTTGTTGCACACCCGGATATGGTGCTGCCTGCGTTGCCCCCAATACGAAGTGCCCCACCAACACTGAGGTCAACATCCAAGCCATCGCCGCCCGCCCGAAGATGCAAGGGGGGGAATTAAGTCACCCCCCGAAAAGACAGCCTAGCCATTTTTTCGGGGCTCAAAAAAAAAATAAGACCCGGCCTTATTATATGAGAAACACGGTAAGTATTTGGAGGTTTGAGTCAGCTGAGTTGAGCAGCCATACAAATAGAATATACAAACAAATGTCAGCGACAGAGAAAATTGCACTGTAATCCAAGCAGATATTTCATAAATCCTTAAGAAAAGTAATAATTGATAACTTAAAGATGTTTGTAGTTACTATTGCTACTCGACAGATACTGTAAATGTCCAAAACAAAAATCAAAACAGTTACAGATTTGCAGATGAGGTAACAATTTGATTTTTCTTAAGCAAATATCTCCGGCTGGATTCATTCCTCATGTTAAGTCATGCTTCATTGTTGATTAACCCACAATATAACCCTTAGCCACAGTAAAACAAAGTGTGAAATCACCTTAATTTACAAAAATCTTTTATGGCTCTGTTTCTATAAATACAGCAACAATGATAAATTCGATCATCCATGATTACTCAAACAATAATAATTCATCAAGAATACTCTTATACTACAGGTAGTCCTCAACATATAACCACAACTGGGTCCAGAATTTCTGTTGCTAAGCATGATGGTTGTTAAGTGAGTCATGCCCAATTTGCTGTGATTGTTAAGAGAAGTACTGCAGTTAAAAGACTCATGCAGTCGTTTATTTAATCTGGCATGACCTAGCATGTCAGAAGCTGGCTGGGAAGGTCACAAATGGCCATTAAATAACTGTAAGATGCTGCAACCATCATAAATACATGCCGATTGTCAAATGCCTGAAATTTGATCTTGTGACCAAGGAGATGCTGTGATGGTTGTAAGAGCAAGAACCAGTTGTACGTCATTATTTTTACTGTCATTGTAATTCTGAGCTGTTGCTAAACAAATAGTTGTAAGTCAGGGACTACAAGTATAACATCTGCTTTGCTGTCTCTCCCCCCCCCCCCCCTCTTCCAAAGTGTAACAGAAGAAAGGTTTTTCAAAATTACAGTGCTGAGTTCTGGAACAGGTATTATTAAGGGCCAGAGACTGATAGTTTCTGTCTGCTCTAAATTCCAGCACTGTTTTAGATCCTATCTTTTTTCTTCCCCCCATATACACATATAGAACAACAAATTATGGTTCACTCAAAAGGTCTTATTCAACAAAATTTATGGATATAAAATGCAAAACAACCACTCTCATATTTTATAATAATAGCATCTCAAATACATGTGAAAATGTTGTTGGTGTCTACAAGTACTGTAAATATATTTTTACCCTAAGAAACTTACAACAACTGTCTCTTTTGGATAATATTTGTATGATGTTTCTTCATTTAACTGGGCAAATCAAGTTTCTCACTTGGATACATTCGATATTCAATTTTTCAACCTATCATATTAATACTGTGTTCAGAAATGCTTATGCAAATTTTTTTGTATAAAAGGAACAAGATTTAGAAGAGAACAAGTATTTAAATTATTTTCATTTATTTTTTGTGGGGGTGGGCTTAGATTAAATCAAGAAACAAATTGAAGAAAAAATGGGATGTACTTACCAATATTTTATTATCTACTTTGTCGCTCTTGACTTCAAGCTTAACTTTCTTTTTCACAGAGATCTTTATCTTCCTACCAATCACATCCTTGACACTTTCTGAAACAGTAGAGAACATAAAATACTTTCAGTGTTCAGAATCTGAAAGAATTTATATATTTATATTATTATTTTATCCCCAAGTAAAAATTCAACATAAATAAATAAATGACATTGTTCCTCTCATATTAATAGCTCCAAGGTGAAATATGACATGAATTCTATTTTAAAAAGTAAATCAAACTCCCCTGTGTTTTATGGGTTGACTGTAAACATTAAGAAATGGTAAAGCAAAAAAAAGGGGATAAGTATCTCCTACCAAGATACTTGTCCCCTCACAATCATGTGAAAAAATAAGTATGCCCCATGTCCCAAAGGTGCTTTTTTTTTCCCCAAGAGGCAAATAGACTTTCTGGTTTTTCTTAGAAGACATTTCCTTTCTCATCCAATAAGCTTCTTCAGCTCTGAAGAAACGTCTTCAAAGAAAAACCAGAAAATCCAGTTGCCTCTTGAAAAAAAACACCTATAGGACAACCATGACCTGGCTGACTGAGAATCTCCTATATCAGGGGTGGGCAAACTACGGCCCGCGGGCCACATCCGGCCCGTTGGTCTGTCCAATGTGGCCCGTCCCTGAAAAAAAATTGCTGCCATTGGTCTGTCCAATCCGGCCCGCCCCTGAAAAAAAATCGCTGGGCGTGGCGTAATTGCCCTGTGCCGCGTGGCCCCCAAAGCTGCAAAACAGTGCGGAGCGATCTAGGGGTAGGAAAGAAAAGAAATTTGCAAAGGCCTCGGCTGGGAGTTCGAAATCACCTTCAAGTGCGACCTCTCCGAAGGTGAGTCCCCGCCGATCCCCCCCTTTTTTTCCGGGGCTTCCAGGCTTAAACTTTGCAAAGGCAAAGCTTGCAGGCTGGAGCGTCTTCCCGCCGAGGAGCAGGAAGGGTTCCACCCGGCGGGCGGGGCGGGCTGCTTGGAGCCACCTAAAGCTAGGCCGCTGCTGGTGGAGCTTTGCCCTGCCTTGGTGCCCCGTTTCCCGGCTTGGCGGTCCTGCTTGGGCAGCACTTTAAAAGCCTGCTCCCAGCAGCCGAGCCACTTCCCAGCAACTTTCGGCTTCCTTTTAACTCGCAGGCGCTCGTGCCTGGCCCCGAGCCATGCGGCGGAAGGGAAGCCCGGTGGGCGGGCGGGCAGGCTGCTTGGAGGAGGCTCCGGCCTTCCCCTCCGCCAGGCGCGAGCGCCCGTGAGTTAAAACGAAGCCGAAAGGTGCTGGGAAGTTGCTCTGTTTTCCAGGGCTTTGCAAAGGCAAAGTTTGCAGGCTGGAGCGTCTTCCCGCCGAGGAGCGGGAAGGGTTCCGCCCAGCGGGCGGGGCGGGCTGCTTAAACTTTGCTCGGGTGGCACTTTAAAAGCCTGCTCCCAGCACCCGAGCAACTTCCCAGCAACTTTCGGCTTCCTTTTAACTCGCGGGCATTCGCGCCTGGCCCCAAGCCGCACGGCGGAGGGGAAGCCCGGCGGGCGGGCGGGCGGACTGCTTGGAGGAGGCTCTGGGCTTCCCCTCCGCCAGGCACGAGCGCCTGCGAGTTAAAAGGAAGCCGAAAGTTGCTGGGAAGTTGCTTGGGTTTCCGGGGCTTCCAGGCTTAAACTTTGCAAAGGCAAAGTTTGCAGGCTGGAGCGTCTTCCCGCCGAGGAGCAGGAAGGGTTCTGCCCAGCGGGTGGGCGGGCTGCTTAAACTTTGCTCGAGCGGCACTTTAAAAGCCTGCTCCCAGCACCCGAGCAACTTCCCAGCAACTTTCGGCTTCCTTTTAACTCGCGGGCGCTTGCGCCTGGCCCCGAGCCGCGCGGCAGAGGGGAAGCCCGGTGGGCGGGCAGGCTGCTTGGAGGAGGCGACCCGGCGGTGCTCCGGCAGCAGCAAGAGGCAGGGCTCTGCTCAGGTGTCCGGCTGGGGCTGTCAGGAGTTGCTACCGCCGGCGCAGCTCCGTGCGGCTCCAGTCCCGCGTTGCCTTGGGAAGGAAAAGGCAAAACCAGGAGCCGCTGAGCCTGAGCCTCCGGTGCCGCTGCTCCCGATGCAAAGCACCGCCGCGGCTCTTCCTTTTTGCCTTTCCCTTCCCGAGGCAACGCGGGAGTGGAGCCGCGTGGAGCCGTGCCGGCGGTAGCAACTCCTGACTCAGAGGGCCTCCGAGGGGAGGGGAGCCTCTGAGGGGAGGGGAAGGAGGAGAAGAGAGGGGGAAGGGGGGGCGATTCCCAAAAAATCTTGTGCTGACCCGGCCCGTCTGTCAAATTTTAAAAGTCAATGCGGCCCCCGAGCCAAAAAGTTTGCCCACCCCTGTCCTATATGCTACAAACAGGTATATCCCATTGAAATTTTTTACTGTTTCAACTCACATATATTTTACCTTCATTTCAACACTACAGATGGAGGGGTATACCAACTACCACACACCATTTTCATTTTGTAGTCCACTGTGTAATTTAAATAAGTATCAATGCAAATTTGGAATATGAAAAAAAGTTAAGTACGCACTGACATTTAGCATTACCTCAGATAGCCTAAGATTAGAATCAGACGCTCAGGTGTAAATGTTTAGAATATTGTTAGGGAGGATCTGGGAGGAACCTATCAGACTTTTTGTTTTTTTTTGCTTGTTGCTGCTGAAATGTGTGGTTATCACCATTTCTAGACTGAAATTGCTTATAGGTGTCTACAACCTTCAGAAAGAACACAGTGGTGGGATTCAAATTTTTTTACTACCAGTTCTGTGGGTGTGGCTTGGTGGCCGAGGCAAGGAAAAGTTACTGCAAAATCCCATTTCTTCCCCACTACACTAACCTGCTTTCCAGCTCCGTTCTCCTGTGCAGGGCAACAAAAGAAAATCCAGCCAATCAGCTGGGACTCGGAAGGCAGAGAATAGATGGGGGGGGGCAGTCAGAGGTGGTATTTGCCAGTTGTCCGAACTACTCAAAATTTCTGCTACTGGTTCTCCAGAACTGATCAGAACCTGCTGAATACCAACTCTGGAAAGAAGGTTGTAGACACCGATTCATCTGGGAATGAATTTGAAGATTACCAAACAATTAAGCACCAATGATTCCACTGTCTAGAAAATCTTCTACAAATGGAGAAGATTTCAAACAACTGCCAACTTGTGTAGGCCATAGTTCAGCCAGACAGCACAACAAATGACATTGAAATATGAGAGCCTAGTGGTTAAAGCACCAGACTAGAAAGCAGGAGACCATGTGTTCAAGTCCTGCCTTACCCATGAAAGCCAGTTGGGTGACTTTGGGCCAGTCTCCCTTTCTCACGGGTTGTTGTGAGGAAAATAGGAGGAGGAAGATGTGTTTGTAAAAATAATAAAGACAGAATACAAATAAATAAATAAACAAATAAAATATACAAATAAGTCTCAGAATTTCATTACAGATAGCTCTCTCCATGAGCAATGTCAAAGTTCATGAGGGCATGATTACAAAAAACCCTGCACAAATTAGATTTATATGAGAGATGTGCCAGGAAGAAACTTTTACTCTATAGAAAGAACATCAGGGCAAAATTAAATTTTGTTCCTGAACACCTAGGCAAAGATCAGGACTTCTGTATCAAAATGCTTTGCACAAGTGAGGTAATGTTTGGCCACAGTGACAAAAGACATTTAGTGAAAATTAAAGAAAACATTTCACTAGAAGAGCTTGATACCAAACCTGATACAGGTAGTTCTCAACTTACAAGAGTTTGTTTAGTGAATTACGTAATCAAAATTCAGATACTTGGCAACTGACTCACATTTATGATGTCTGCAGAGTCCCCAGGTCACACGATCATATTTTGCCACCTTCGGATAAACAAAGCCAATGGAGAAGCCAGATTCACTTAGCAACTACGTTACTAACTTAACAACTGAAATGATTCACTTAACTGTGGCAAGAAAAGCCTTAAAATGGAGCAAAACTCACCAATAGAAATTTTGGGCTCAATTGTGGTTGTAAGTTGAGAACTTCCTCTATTGTACAGAAAACCTGGTGGTGGAAATGTTAGTTTGGGGTTGCTTTGCTACATCAGGACCTGGGACACTCATTATCACAGCACTCACTGTAAACCATTTACTGTACCTGATAGGGCTAGGCCATCTGTCAAAAGATTGGGACTGGACTGAAAGTAGACCTTGCAACATGACAATAGAATAGAATAGAATAGAATAGAATAGAATAGAAGAGTAGAGTTGGAATTGACCTTAGAGGTCTTCAGTCCAACCCCATTTCAGACAAATGGTTGACCAATCTCTTCTTAAAAACTTCCAGTGTTGGAGCATCTACAACTTCTGGAGGCAAGTTGTTCCACTGTTCAATTGTTCTAACTGTCAGAAATTTCTCCTTAGTTCTAAGGTTGCTTCTCACCTTGATTAGTTTCCATCCCTTGTCCTGCCTTCAGGTGCTCTGGAGAATAGCTTGACTCCCTCTTCTTTGTGTCAGTCCCTGAGATATTGGAACACTGCTATCATGTCACCCCTATTCCTTCTTTTCATCAAACTAGACATATCCAATTCCAGCAACTGTTTTTATATGTTTTAGTCTCCAGTCCCCTAATCATCTTTACTGTACTTCTCTGCATTCTTTCTAGAGTTTCAACATTCTTTTTATATCGTGGCAACCAAAACTGGATGCAGTATTCCAAATGTGGCCTTACCAAAGCATTATAAAGTGGTATTAACACTTCATGCGATCTTGATTCTATTCCTGTGTTTATGCAGCCTAGAACTGCACTGGCTTTTTTGGCAGGTGCAGCACCCTGCTGGCTCACATTTAAATGATTGTCCACTAGGACTCCAAGACCCCTCTCACAGTTACTACTATTGAGCGAGGTACCACAAAAAAGTGCACTTTGTTTTTCTTGCCTAAATGTAGAACCTTACTTTTTTCACTATTGAATTTCATTCTGTTAGATAGTGCCCAATGTTCACATCTATCAAGATCCTTCTGTATCTTAAGCCTATCTTCTGGAGTGTTGCCTGTTCCTGCTAGCTTGGTGTCATCTGCAAATTTGATGAGTTCCCCAATGATCCTAAACATTC